TGGATGAAGATAACTTCTAAGGTTAGAAAGGTAGCTCCCTATCAGGCACTCGGTACACATTCACTGGCTGAAGGTGAGGAGTGAGCGCTCTCTTTAGGGGCGGTTTGTAAAGAGGCCTCCTCCCAGACCTGAGTCAGTGGGAGGGATCCAACCACCGGCTGTGCTCACCTGTCCTCGAAGCACACCGTGCACTTCCAGGCATGGGTCCCCCTCAGGAACACTCGGCAATGGGCGCACACGCGGTGGCTGCAGCCCCGGCACACGGCGCCCCGGTGCAGCAGGAGCCCCAGCACCCTCTGGCAGCGCGCACAGCACTTCTCTTTGTACTCCTGGTCCGTGCTCTTCGCTCCTTTCCACCGGAGATGCTGCAGGTGCGTTTTCAGTTTCCTGCAACCCACAAAGTTAAAGAAGATACTATTGGATGGAACACCCAACCCCAGGCTACAGGGCAAGAGCCCAGAGGGTATCCCCCATGGCAAGGGAAGGGGCTTTGGCATTTGACATCCCTGGGCTCCCACATGGCTGTGCGAACTGGGCTCCCACTCAATGTCTCAGAGTCGAGGCTCAAGGGTTTCCTCAACCGTGAAACAGGCGAGGTAAGGTACGACCTTACCTCTACTCCCAGGGTTGCTGTGAGGACTAAATGGCAAAGTATAAATAACATGCCTGGTGCAGAGAAACTCCCCGCTAGATCCATCCCTTCCTGCCCAAAGGCTGTTAAGATAGTAAGCAAGAATAGTGAAACGAGAGGAAAAGACACCGAAAACAGCATCCATTCCAATCTGCAAGGCATGGAACGATCCAGAAATACACAGCATACATCCCTGCTATTGGTATAAGTTACCCAATAAAATCAACTGATGCTATGCTTTTGCTACGTTTTTGTTGTTGTTGTTGTTGTTTTAATGAGTGGTCAGCTCACTCCCCTAGACAAATAGCCATAGTGCAAAGAGACATTGTATTGGACCAAAAAGGCGTCATTTACCAGCATACTCTTTTATGAATGTCTGTGATACCTACTTGTAGAAGAGATGAGCCAATCCCAAGAAACAAGATGACATCAGAAATGCACTTTAAAATGCGACTTTCAGGATCTACCCTAGAATTAGTACCCTTTGAGATACAACTTCGTTACCACTATGTCTATGTCACCTTGTTAATATTCAAAATGATGTCTCTAAATCACTGAAAGATCTTTCATCATCAAATAAAATTTCACTTTTCTCACTGTATTGTAGTTTTTTATTTTCTTTTTCTTTCTTTCTTTCTTTCTTTTTTTTTTTTTTTTTGAGACAGAAATCTCGCTCTGTCACCCAGGCTGGAGTGCAGTGACGCGATCTCGACTCACTGCAAGCTCCACCTCCCGCGTTCAAGGGATTCTCCTGTCTCAGCCTCCCGAGTACCTGGGATTACAGGCACCTGCCACCATGCCCAGCTAATTTTTGCATTTTTAGGAGAGACAGGGTTTCACTATGTTGGCCAGGCTGGTCTCGAATTCTTGACCTCAGGTGATCTGCCTGCCTCAGCCTCCCAAAGTGCTGGGATGACAGGTGTGAGCCACCATGCCCAGCCTGTATTATAGTTTTTAGCGGAAGAAAGTTTACAAGTACACTTAGAGAGCTCTGAAGTAACAGAGAGGATGAAGCAAGAATACTATACCAGAAAATTCCCCTCACTCCTCAAGCATTTGGTTGTCCAAAGTTTTGTTTTCTAATGTGTTCTGCCATTAGAAACCAAACCCTCACTTCCTCCATAGACGCTGATAAAAAGCGCCAACCTGTTTAAAGATGGATCTTGACAGCTAAGGCTGAACACGGCTCTGATAGAGTTCAGCACACTTTTCTAAATGTTAACCCATATCAAACGGCCCAGGCAGCTTAGAGACAGACAGGGAAGAAGTTCCCTGTTGGCAAACCGGTCAGGAAACAGGTTAAGCAGGTTCATATTTTACGCTCTCCCCGCTTTCCTCAAAGCCAGCTGGGAAGCAAAAGCAAGCAAAGAAAAAAGACAATGCTGGGTTCCATCAGATTTGCTGCTTCTGAACTGCTTTCTTTGCTTTTCTTTACACCTTCAGGCACCGTCAAAAATGAGGTAGGAAAACCCTTAATCCGAGGTCTTTCCCTAAATAAGTGGTAAACTAGAAGCCTGAAAATGTCCCTTGAATGATTCCCACCAAGTCGGCAAACAGACAAGCAGATGGCAAACAGCAAACTCACCGCCCAAACGCACTGTTTTAAATGAATAACAAGAGCGGCCTCCCTTGTCCCAGGCATCCTCTACGTTGAGCTACATAAGGAGGATCATCTCCACCAACAGCCCTTTGTTAGGACCCTTCTCAGTCATGAAGCCCAGCAGCAGGTGGGTAGCGATTTGGAAGCAAGCAGCATCAGAGACGGAGTGGCAGGCCCCAAGCAGAGAAAGCTAAAACCCCAAGTGACCCCACGGGAAGGACAGCCTACCGTATCCTCTCCTCCTCTGCGTTTTGAACCTCCTGGTCTCGGTACAGGACCTGGAGAATGGCCTCGCGTTCTAACTCCTTGAGAGTATTCAGATCTACTTCTTGGGCCATTTCTTCTTCCTTTTCGTTGACCCAGGTTGGAGGAGCTTCACTCCATGGACCAAGCGCTCACGCCCTGCAGATGAGCGGCGGAGGCCAGCTGCAGCTAGCCTTGTTTAAAGAGCTCCCTCTCCTATTTCACTGGCGACTGTTTTGCTTGTGGCTCTTTTTTCCTTTTTAACTGTGTCACACTCCTTAGAAGAAGAAAGCCTCAAGAGGTTGTGCGTTTGTCGGAGTTACAGCTCGCAGAGCCTTGTGCCACCCGGGGGTGTCTTCACCGGGTTCTGCTGCAGCCGCTGACATCCATCTAAGACAAAAGCGTATCTTTTTTCTGAGATTTCACCAGATAAATCATCCACAGCTGCAAGCAGATAATTTCTGCAAAACAGAAGTAATCTTCAAGCCAAGGAAATTTACAAATAGCAATGAAAAGAGTATCAGTGACTCATAGAAGCTAACCTTCCACTTAAGATGTTTCCAGGTCAGCAGGAACCATCATTAAAAGCCCAACTCCTTCAATACCTGTAGACAAGAAAACAAAAAAATGGCAACATTTTTCTTGGCTTAAGTATCTCTGCAGCATTACTTCCAAAAAGACAAAATATTCTACACAAACCCTTGCATTTTTTGCTCGTGGTGATAACGTAAACTTTTAAATTTCTTAAATAACCCTTCTCATATTTCTAAAAGCCTCAGACTTCCAAACTTGAATTTTCCTAATATGAATTCCATAACTTCAGTGGCCAGAGGACATAAAAGTCTGGTTTAATGTACATTATCCTAATTGAAGACACATTGGAAAAATGGCATTCCCAACTGTTGGCTCTTACTTTTACAATAACTTCAACACTCAGAAATGTTTTAATCAGTTAAGGAGATATGAAGTGGCATACCTCCACAAGCACAGTCTATCAATTATTTACCATCTTGAATAAGTTTCATGAGCTGCCTTATGCATTTGCTCTTGTTTTTGTTTAATGACAGTTGAAAGGTTCTGCATACATCCTTTTATCCAGAGAATGCAGAAGATCAAATTAATATACTTCCTATAGTACTATTTTTGTTATTAAATCTATTATGAATCCCTGAGTGATAAGATATCCTTTCAATGCTTTAAAAGCTAAACTTCCTTTGCTGGGCTTCAAAAGAAATCCACATTATATTAATTTATGATCCATGGTAAATTAGTGAATGAGAGGTTAATAGAGCTCTAAGGTATCATTTCCTTTAAGCAAAGGTTCTTAACCTTTTTCTTAATCTTTGGTAGTCTGGTGAAGCCTATGTATTTAAATGCATAAAATAAAGTATGCTGTGTTACACAGGAAACTGATTATACTGAAATATTTTAAAATTATAATATAGTAATATATGTGTTCCTCGATACATGAAATACTAAGATCTAGCAGTGATCTAAGGACTCCCATGATTTCAAAGTAGTGATGAATAGAAACAATGTTTTGAGATAGTTACAACATGTCACGTGGTATGAAAATATCCGTGATTTCTGTTGGTGACAAAGTCACAAGTTCTGCTGATTCTACTGTGGTTTCTTGCCTATGTCCATGCTTTAAGGAAATGCTAAATTTGAGTTAAAGATTCATAAACATAAATATTTAATTTTTTCTCCATTCAAGTTCATGGGCCTATAGGCCAAGGATTGCGCAGTTAAGAAATTCAGTATTTGTCAATTTCCCTATTGTAAAATAAAATTAAAATATATTGTTCATCCCAACTGCAGAGGTTGCATGAGGAACAGAAAACCCAGGGCTCTGAAAAGGGATGTTCTTGGCTTCTAGTCTGTGATAAAGCACACACAAGACCTGCTCTCCAAACGCCTCCTCTCTAGATGAAGGGAAAATCAGAAAGCAACAAGGACTTCAGGCTCTTACCTGGCTGGGCTGGGACCTGACTATGCCAGCAGGGATAAGGCCTCTTCCCTCCTTAGATCCAGGTTCCAGATGAACAGGTGGAACTAGCAGACCTCAGTGCCCCAAGGCTCTGAGTCTCTGGGAAAGAGCAAAGTAATAGAAAACAGTGTGTGACCAAGTGCCAAGTGGCAAGGTGCAAATTAGCCATCAAGTCACCAACTGCATGAGCCCATTCTTCTCAACTTGCCCCTCAGTTCTTCATGCCGTCTTCTTATTTCCACTCTACTAATCATACTACTGGGTCCAGAGCTATCTGGTTTGTCTAATTCTTGAGTTTTCATTTATTTATTTTGAAACAGGACCTCATTCTGTCACCCAGGCTGGAGTGCAGTGGTGTGATCATGGCTCACTGCAGCTTTGGCCTCCCAGGCTCAAGCGATCCTCTAGCCTCAGCCTCCTGAGTAGCTGGGACTACAGGTGCAGGCTACCATGCCCAGCTAATTTTTTAATTTTGTAGAGATGGGTTCCACCATGTTGTGCAGGCTGGTCTGGGCTCAAGCAGTCCTCCTGCCTCAGCCTCCCAAAGTGCTAGGTTTACAGGCCTAAGCCACTGCACCTGGCGTTCGAGTGTTTTTAGTGAAGAGTTTTTGCACCTGGCTGCAAACACGTACTCTGTGCACTGTGCTTTCTTTTCATATGGCTGTTTGTGCTCCGCTCTCTGGCTGTGGTCTCCAGCACTCCAGGTAAGCAGGACCGCATAGCTGCAGTACTGGCTGGTAATGACACCACTCAGTGAATCTGGTGGGGGAATCTGAAATACTCAACTGCTCGCTCATTCGGGTGGCTAGGTCTTAACGCATTTCAGAAATACAGGGTTCAATGATCATTACAAAGCACTACCCTTACTTTCCCAAACCCACGCCTGTGGGTCCCAGGTGCAAGTGTGGGGAGCGCCCTTTCCACCACCGCTAAGAGGAAGCTCACGCTCCCCCTAGTGGCCATTCACTTTGCATTACAGAAAAATGAAATTCAGTTCATTTCTTGGATCCATTCATCCAGTCATTCAGTAAATATTTATTGAACACCTCAGGCGCTGTTCCAGGTTTTTTTTTTCTTTCCATTTTTATTATTATTTTTTGAGACGGAGTCTTGCTCTGTCGCCCAGGCTGGAGTGCAGTGGTGCGATCTTGACTCACTGCAACCTCTGCCTCGTGGGTTCAAGCAATTCTCCTGCCTCAGGCTTCCAAGTAGCTGGGATTACAGGTGCCCGCCATCACGCCCGGCTAATTTTTGTATTTTTAGTAGAGACGAGGTTTCACCATGTTGGTCAGGCTGGTCTCGAACTCCTGAACTCGGGCCCTCGACCTCCCAAAGTGTTGGGATTATAAGCACAAGCCACCATGCCCAGCCTGTTCAAGGTTCTTGACTTGACTGACTGGTCATTTATACCCTATTCTACTTCTAACAAAAATATGATGCAGCTTACAATAAAAGCATATAGAAGACAGCTAAAATAAGAGAGACAGTAGCAGCAAATGAAAAAGGACTGATAATTCTACTAAGAACAGGAAGTAAAGCAGTGATCACTTGAGCCTTAAATGTATTTCTGACCTTCCTGGTAGCCAAGGCAAAGCAAAATGAAATGAAAAGAATGAAAAGTCAAGATGCTGTCTATAGCTTTAATACACTGAAAGAAATACAGAAAAACATCCTCAAGATGCAAACGACTAAGACAATATCCCAGGCGCAGTGGCTCACGCCTGTAATCCCAGCACTTTGGGAGGCGGAGGTGGGCAGATCAACTGAGGTCAGGAGTTGGAGACCAGCCTGACCAACATGGTGAAACCGTCTCTACTAAAAATACAAAATTAGCCAGGCTTGGCGGGGGCATACCTGTAATCCCAGCTACTCGGGAGGCTGAGGGAGAGGAATCACTTGAACCCGGGAGGTGGAGGTTGCAGTGAGCTGAGATCGCG